CAGTCACTGCGGCTTTGTTGGAAATAACGACAACAATGCGCGCAGAGCTACTGGGCGCCTGTGTGCTATCTATGAGAGCTTGGAGGTTCGATCCTAGAAAAGAGGAAAACAAGCTGACACTTCTTAAAAAGAGACGTGCCATTTTGAATGGGGAATGGTCAAGATTTCTGGATAAATGTCTTAGAAAAGATTGGTGAAATATGTGAGGCTTTTAAATTCCCTTCCTCTTGGGATAATGGATTTAATAGCTTACAAAAACAGGCATTCCTGGCTTTAGGATATGTAATTGCTCCTGCAATATAATAATAGCTTATGATCTATTATTAAAAAAATATGATCTAGCACAGCGGTAGACATAACATGATTTTAAAACTGAATAAGTTGCTAAATTAAGAAAAATCCATCCTGTCCAGAAGAATAAACCATTATGGCCTTTACAAGTATAGTGTCTTTCTTTACCATCAACTTGGGCCTGAAGCATACTGAAATCTTAAAGTGGACTAGTAAAGCAATTGTGCTCCTGAGAATGTACCCTAGAGAAATAATCCAATATGCACTTAAGAATGTACTATACATTTATGAGACATATACCAATGTTACAATAGTGGGAAAAAATCATGTTATATCCATCTAAGAAAATATGACACACTTATCACTTTACCCTTCTACCCACAAGAGTCAAACACAAATTTCATTTTCTTCTTATTAACAATTAAGAAAAACCCCTCAACTGTTATAAGACTTTTTAACTATACAGCATGATGCAAAAGAAGGTGGATTGTCCATCCTTGCTGTGTTTTCCAGTTTCTCTTTCTTCAACCATCTTCCTGACACCTACTTTTACTTTAGGAACTGTCTCAGATGCCTGAGAAAAGGAGAAAGACTGAGAATGCAGAAAAGATAACAGTCCTCAGTGATCCCCCCGCCTCACTCTGCTGAGTGTTCCCACAATCTGAAGGAGGTTCTTTTCTGGTGGGGAGGGGGGTGGGGAGCGGGTCCGAGAAGGGGAAGAGCATTTCTCCAGTGCTACAGTAAAGAGGAAACCACACCTCACCTGTTCCAGATATTAAGACAGCCACTCTTGCCTTTTTTGGTTTACTTTTCATAGTGCCATTCTGCAATTTTGGTCCATTTGTTTGCATGGCTTC